AAGTCGGAATGGAAGGGAATGAAACTATCATAATATTATCATACATGGTTAAGATCCTAATGTCTATCATAATCTCCCTTGAACAAGAGAGATTAGAGATCCTAAGGGAAAGGAACAACAGAGGAACAACAGGAAGCAAAATAAACATACAAGAATGCAAACATGAAATGAAAGTGAGGGAGGAAATTAGTGTGGGAAAAAAGCCTCCACAAGCTCATCTCAACCTCAAGCCACAATATGATAAATGCAAGGGATAAAAGGAAACATAAATGCATCAAAAGAAATACACAAGAGCATAAAAAATGGGATGAAATGGCCTAAACCAAACTACATCAACCATAATGCCAAAACATAAACACAAATGAAAGGCAAAGAAGACCTAAAAAAAGTGAGGATGAGAGGCTATATGAAAACTCATAATGTGCACTCAACCATGAGCATCACGAGAAAGGTGCACAAGAAAGTGCAAAGAAGTCCTCATGGATTCATCATTTTAGGCATGCTTCAAGTACCTCCAAAGGAGGGACCAAGCTACCTTAATTGAAATTACAAGGTCATTGGACAGCAAGGGAAATGAAATAAAAGTGCTCAAAATAAAAATCAAGTAAACCACAAGGAAATGCAAGCAAATTCCCAAAGGAAAGCAAACATGTTTCACATAGAAACCCTAATTGGAAACTCAAAAGAAAGCAATCAAATGAACAAGCAAAATACAATATAATGACCTAAAAATGAGGAAACATCATCCTTAACATGTTAAAAACATGAACCAATAGGCATTGAGAGCTCAAAGGATCCAAAAATCTCATATCCAAGTCAAACTAGGTCAAGATGTATGTATGAACTTCCCTTTGGGGTAACTTGACTTGCAAGTTACTCTAAAAATAGGAAAATGATTCAAAAATTATCAAATAAAATGCAAGAAGCTCATAAATATGTTGGCAACCAGAGGCCAAAAGGTTACAATCAAAATCACTTCACAACATCACCATAGAAATTGATTCACAAGGGTGCTCCATTGTGAAGGAGGATTGTTTAGGGTCAAATGAAGTGCATCAAAAGTCAACTCAAAAGTCAACCAATCAGGAGCAAAATGGTCCTAAAAAATTCATCAACTCATCATTGATATGAGGATTGAATTTTATTCATTAGATCAAAAGAAATGAGAGAAATAAAATAAAAACCAAAACATGTCAAGATTTAGGTCAAATAAAACACTTCCAATGATAAATTTCATTTTTAATTTAAAAATAATTCAAAAAATAAAATATTTCTAAAATCAGAGAACATCTCAAGGATTCTAAAACATATTTTTTTTTGGAATTTTATCACTTTTGGAAGTATTTTAAAATAATTTAAATCTAAACAGAAATAAAATAAAAACTAAAAGAAAAAGAAATTAAAATAAATAAACAAGTGGTACAGGAAGTAACCCATAAACATTGGAAATCAATGGGCCAATCCATCAAAAATGAAAAAGAAATAAAAACGTGTGGATCCAATGTGATGATTCAACCAAGGTCCATAGTACACCCATGCTTCAGACCGTGTGATCAGAAAGTAATCAGATCAAGGGGCTCACAGCGCGCCATGGCATTTAATGAAAGTTCCAAATGGATTTGGTGTGTGTGGTCAAAGCAAGTGCACCGTAGGTCTTAATCAGAACCATTAAAATTAAAAGTAAATGCATCCAAAGGCCAGAAGCAGCACACGTGGCTCTGATGAGTTTGAAAAGTGGAGAGAGAACCAGACGGCTGGAACCACTGTTCCGGTCGTCTTCTCCGGCGAAGCTTCAAGAAACCAGCCACGACCAAAACCCAGATTCTCCAAAACTCAACCAAAATGAATAAATAAATAGCCAAAAATGATCTTCAGGTTACGTGGATCATGAATCCACTAGCCATTTTCATTGATCATGCTTTAATAACACAAAACGAAAAGAAATAGAAATGAGCTCAAATGAAAAAAGTTCAGAAACAACCATGAAATCAATTCAGAATCCATCTATGATATGCAAGGATTATAAATACATGAAAATGGCGTGATAAAAGTGCTTAAACAGAGAGATATTTTGGAAGAAAAAAACCTAAAAACAAGCTTCCTCAGTGCTCAGTTTGTTAGAAAAGCTTGAAATAAACCACCCAGAAATGTTCTATGAGTCTCAAGGAATGTTTTGAAATGTTTTATTTGGATTGAAACTCAGTGAAAGTTGAAAAACGATTTTGACTTTTTCTTCACTTTCTCTCAATGTGTTCTCACTCAATCTCTCACCAAAACCCGTTCTGAAGACTTGTAAACAACCCTGAGATTAAATATGATGGATTCTGATTGAGAAAAGGCCCAATTCTATGCTCTTTGGGCCCAATTGGATTTTCACTTTTTCACTTCATGGCCATTTCAATATTACACGAAAATCACCTCGATCAGCTGTAAAAATGGCTCAGCTAGCTTGCATCTGAGGTAGGTTGATCAAAGGGCTGAGAATGGCTCCTTGATTTGATCTTATGGCAAGGTTTGTATATGTTACTTAATCTTGAAGAAAGATTGAAAATGACCACCAAAATGAACTCAAATCTCACATCCAAAGTTGACATTGTGTTTGAAATGTAATTGGCACTCGAAAAATGCACAAGGTTGGTACAAAATGATTCCAAATGATTTTAATTTGATTTTTCCCTTTTAAAGCCTTTTTCATGGAAATTTCATTAGGGATTCTTCAATCCAAGCCAAACCTTTGATGCCTTGATGTTTGGTTGAGCAAATGACCCTATTTGGAGCAAGTTTGAAGTTGGAAAAATTTCCATTTGAAGTGTGCAAAGTGGTGAAATGGACCTATAATGAAAATGATCTGTAATCCTGCTTTCCCAAAATACCCATGCCTTGCAAGCCTCATAACTTGAGTTCTACAAATCAGATGAAGGACTTCTAGTAATCTTTGGAAAGCTAAGATCATGAGGAAGAACTTTTATGTTCATCAAAAGTTGAGGAGAAACATCCTTCTAGGTAAAAAATGGTTTGGAAGTTGGTTGACTTTTGTTGACCAAAATCACATTCATCAGAGGACCTGTAACTTGTCTGCATTATAACTTGAGTTCTACAAATCATATGAATGACTTATAGTACTCAAAAGAAAGCTAAGAACATGCTCTACAAGTTTCATGTTGGGGTCAAGATGAGATGAGACTTGTATCTTGAGATAGGTGGTCTTGAAGTTGGGCACTGAACATGGGATTTTACGTTGAGAACCCTAATTCAGTAACTCCTCACACTCTTAATTCTTGATGAATTGATCTTGAAGTGATATCTCATGTATCTTAACACAATATTCCATGACCATAAAGACTTGGAATTGGGTCTTAATCTCCTTCAATTTCACAGTTGACTTAGGGTTGACCAGATGAACACCCTAATTGCACCATCTTCAACTGTAGCTCTTCACACTTGGTATAAACACTTGAATGAACTCCACAATGACTTACAAGGCCTCCAATGAGCTTAAATAATAATCTACTTCCATAACCATGGGCTTGTGATCCTCAGATGACTTTCAAATGGCCTCCTAGACAAGAGGTGAACCACATACACTTATCTGCCTATCCAAAGGGCTTTTGCCTTGTCTCTGATGATAATAACCCTCCTATTGACTTGAATATAAACTCTTGATTAGGCTTAGCACCCTTGGCAAATTCCTCTTGTTAGACACACATCTCTTGATCCCCTGTAAAATGCAAAATGCTATGCAATGCAATATGTTAGAACAATGAAATGAAACATAAACCAAGTAAAGAAAAGGTTGGACAAATTTTGGGGTACAACAATGTTACAGATGAAGATTGACGTTCCCTTGAGTTTCCTTGAACCTTGTTTGATGAAATTTGACTTGGTGTAGAGAAGTGTTTTGAGAGAGGTTGAGTTGAGTTTGAGAAAATTGTGAAATGAGAAAGGAGAAAAGTATGACGCGAATTATACTCTAAAATGTATCAGAACTGTATTTCCGAAATATTTTAACGTTAACTTACATTTTAGTGCGTACGAAAATACATATGCAAAAATATAGAATATTTGTAAAAATTCACGTAATGCAGTACAAATATATAAAATACTTAAAAAATTCTCAAACTTTTATACTTGACAATCATCATAATAATTAATTTAAACTTTTAGCCCGTCATATATATTCATATAGATATCAAATGTGTAATGTTTGAAATAATTATAATCAAAACCAATCATTTTTAGTAATTTTATATTCTCTAATCTTTATAATAAGAAAAGATTAAAGGAAGAAATTATTACTGAGTAATTAATTGTATCAAAAATCTTCAAATAGTCTATATATACAAATTAAAACTCATAACTAATTTGTTGTAAATTTATATAACTTAAAGTTCAAATTAATAAACTAAATGGACGAGTAAATCTTTTGAAAGTAAAGAAGTATTGTAGTTCATAATTGGTAGTCCTACAACAAGTCCTATCTAGATGGTCCTTTGAAGGTTGATATATTTATTTTTCTCTTTAAAAGAACTAACTAGTTCTTTTCTTATTAATTAAGGAAGAAAGAAAAAACACTAAACCTACCCTTCCTTTATCATGTGACCTACTTTATGCAAAAGAGTGTAACCCTACTTTTATTCAACTCCATGTGCTTCAACTCAAAACCCTTGTAGATATACAAACCCTAAAATAAAATAAAAAAGCTAAAGCAAAAACTAAAGCTAATGTTGTCTCTATCTTGTTTGTACATTGCTTTGTCTTTGGTTTTCCACTTTCAATATTCATCCATAACACATCACTTCTTCAACTTTACCCATCTTTTCATGAATTTCATACCCCAATAAATTCCATATGAGTTTCACTTTGATTTGTAGGGTCCTTCTCCTTTTTCTTTAACTTCATATTTACAAAAAGCATGTCATGAATATTCCTTTTTGTGCAACCATGCACATTCATCTCCCACTCATTAAGTAATATTTATATCAATAATCTCTTTTTGTGGGTCAATGTGATGGAAAGAAAAGTGGAGTGGAATCTCTTTGTAGCTTCCCATCAATGACTTTTACTTTGCTAATTTTCTCTTCACACCAATGTAATTGATTTTCGTTCATCTCACTCATTCTTAAAACCCTTGACACCACTTTTAAGTCTATTAATGACATCAAAATTTCCATCTCTTCTTCCTCCTTCAACTTTCTTTTCCTCAAGCATTTGTGAGATCGCTTAAGATCCTTAACTTTCATCTTCTTCTGCACACATTAATCAAATTATAGTTTCTTGTAAGTAAATAAATATATTAAAACGTATTATATTATAATGCATAAGAGTGACAAAACATGCGCAATCATATTTAACCGCGTTTTTTCGCGGAAAGATAGAGGCTTTAAACATTCACTCTCTAATATGTGCGTCCCACTCTATTTTGTTTTCTTTCCGAATATAAACATTAACACCAATTTTTACATCAACTAGACTTACAATTTTTAGTCTTTAAGAGTGTAAGACCCGCATACCCGACTCACTCTCATTTTTACGATAGAACGGATCAAGGTTTTAAGCCCTAGCTATTTCTGACTCGTTCTGTTTTTCAGACTTTTGCCGAACCACGACAAACATGTCCATTTCTCACCCCTACTTCTTCGATACAAAAAAATAGGGATGCATAGTAGGATCCACTTGCTCGGAGAAATTCTTTGCATTCATACCGTCAGAATACCATTGACCATTTGATGAAAATCGACCGATTCATATTTAACCTCGATATTTGAATTATAAAATAAAATAATTCAACAAAGAGAAAATTAATATTATAATAAAATTAGGAGCTTGCCTTTTGATTAACTTTCTTCATAAGACGAATTAATATTGGATCAATCAATGTTCTTCGATTTCTTCGAAAGTAAGATGCAAGGATCTCACATGTTTTCTCTTTATCAGCCTTTAAAAAATTCATGAATGTTCTGATTCCATCTTCCATTATCACAAGAAATGAAGCTGATGAAATTTTTGAGTTAAACCCAACATTCTCCTTCTGATCATCATCTGATTCTTTAATAAAATAACACAAAAAAAAGTTAAAATTAATTCACATATACCAATAACATTAAACATTATTCAAAACTAACACCGACACTTTTAAAAAAGACGTGTCCGTATGACACTTGTAGTGTCCGTGTATAATTATATTTAATTTATTGATTTTTGCAAATTATTAAAGCTGTTACCATGTCTCTGTCAGAATCATATTCGAAGTGTTTGTGATTTATAGTTCAAAAATGAAAAATATTTTCGATCATGATGAAGTAATTGTACCTCGATATTCAGGGACTAGAAGCAATTTTGGTGCCAAATGTCGCATTCTAGCATAAATCTCAGGTCTTCTACCATACTCATAAGGCTCATTCTCAACATATCTTTGCAACAAAACTTGAAACTGTTGAAATTGTTGTGCAATTGTTGCTGGACAACCAACATCAACATTTGAAGCTCTTTTTGATTGAAAATTCTTGTAGTTCCAATTAAGTGCTTCCCATGTTAAGCAAATTTGTGCAACATAAGCACTTTCCAATTCACAATATGGATTGTGATTACTTGTATCTTCTGATTTTTTATTCATGCTTGAAAATTTGTACACAATTCTCTCTGAAATTGACCTTGGAGCTACTTTGATAGATCTTAAAGACTCTGGAAATAATCAAAGTGTTACTAATAATGTGTAACAAAATCATTCCTATTAATTTCTATGAACATCACCAGACAAAACATTGACATATACAGATACTAGATAGAACAAAAATACGGACGAACACATAGACACTAATAAAAATTTTAAAAATAAATTAATTGAACATAATCATATATATAATCACATGTATCAGTGTTGTATCGGTGTGATTCGGCACTTCAGAGATTAATTTGAACAAAAAAAAACGAAAGTTGTGCATGTTACCTGTTTCATGAAGTTTTTGTGCACTAATTCTCTCTAGAAACGACATTTCTTCATCATATTTTTGAAAAACAGTGTAAGATTCCCATTTAGGACAACTTCCTCTTGATGAAGAAGAAAAAGGGTCATCAGTTCCAGAATCTCTACAAAGAATTGAGCTTCTCCAATCAGAAGAGCTTTTCGATGTTGATCCAACGGTGCATGAATCACCATATATCTCTTCGTCATCTTTTTCTTCAAATATCAACTTCTTATTTCTCTCCAAATGTGTTGCACCAATCACAGATAATCTCTCATCTCTTTCAACATTTGATTCATCAACTTTCTTGTTTTTGATAACATCATAGTTTTTGTCATTTTGTACTAAATCGTCACTTTTGTATAGATTCGTTGTGATATGACAAGTGGTCCTGTTTTCAATTGGAACAGAATCTTGAACAGAATCTGGAACATAATCTGGAACAGAATCAGCATCTTCTTCTTCTTGAAATTCTGTTTCATTAATTTCTGTCTCAAAATCTGAAACAATAGGTGACTTGTGAAGAACATGCAAATTTTCTGATGAATTTTTTTCTTCTTCTGAAAACTCTTCAATCAAGGTTTCTTGTGGTGTTATAAACTCTTCATCTTCTTCAAAAGAAAAATTGTGATTCCTTTGAGATTTGTTATTACTATGCAAAAACACAAGAGCTTCTCCACCACTAATTATATCCGCTACTAAATGATCTTTCTCAATAGAATCTCCGTAAAAATAGCTCTCTCGAACTTCTTCTTCTCGTTCTTCTTCTTCTTCGTAATCGTACTCAGACGAAACATATTCATATTGTTGATCCCTACAAAATAAAAAACTTGTATGTAAGTATAGTTATAATGGTAGCAAAATAGTAGTTAAGAATGAGAAGTAAATTTATAACCTTTGGAATAGAGTGAAGTTTAGGATTTTGAGAAGTAAAGTGAGAGAAGAGAAGATGAAAAGGAAGAGAAGTTTGAAAGAGGATGATGAATTGTAGAAGAGTCTAATAAGAGCTTCTTCTTTAGAACATGGCATTTTTCTTTCTCTTCAAATTGAAAAACCAAAGTACTTCACCCACTAAGCAAAGCAAGTGCTAGAAAAAAAAGTGATCTTGGTTGCTTTCATCATATATATTAGCATAATATCTTTTTCCTTTTTATGTGTCATCAATCATAGTACCAAATATTAGTGAAATTTTCTAATATATTTCTCCTAATTGTTTTTCATCTATTACCCTCATAATGTTCCAATTATAAGGTCTTAGCTCAATGGCAAACATGTGTTATAAATGAGGAGATTTTAAGGTCGTTGGATAATCCTAATGTGTACTAAAACTAAAGCAAAAGGAAAAGACCAATACCAAGCCACACGCATAGGTAGGCAGATATATATGAAACATACTTTATAAAAAGAGTGGTATTGATTATATTTTTAGAAAAATAAAAAAGTTGCATACACATTATAGTCATTATACACATCATAAATAAGTTATTGAATTAAATAATTGTTAGCCTATTGAGTTGAGCATATATTAAAGAATTTTCTTTTCTAAATTAAAATTTATTAATAAATTTTTTTAAAGAATAAAGAGATAAAAATATAAGTAAATGTGAGATGAGATAACAAAAGATCAGAAGTACACATGAAACACCTTATATTATAAGAGGTACCGTAACACAATCTTTGTAAAGATAAATAAAAACAAAAATGCACAACAACCACAATTTGTTAGAGGTCTGCTGCAAAACATAAATAAGAAGAAGATGAAAACGGTACAATGAAAATTGCACAAAATAAATTCTAAAGCGGGTGTTTACACTAAGTTTTAGGTTTGATTCGCCCCCACCAATTTAGACAATTTGGATGCAAATGAGTTAGCAGGCGAATCCCCTTAAGGATACTTTGAAAGCCTTAACATGAATTGCATATTCACATTAAACATATCGATCAACGATATTTTACAGAATAAAGTTCAATTATTTATTCTTATTCACTAGAAAAATAAAAGAATGACTTAGATATAATGTTTGACACTTGAAACAAGTAGTTTTTGTGTCTTTTTTATGTCTAATAAGTATCTCTATTTATATAAAAATTTGTACCAATTGGTGAGAAGAAACAATGTTTCAATGGTTTAAACATGACCATTCGCGAACCATTATATATATCAATAAATAGCAAACCCTTTCATGAAAAGTTGTGTTGATATGGTGGCTGTACCTTTTGACCACGCACCTTATCACAATAAGGTCTTTGGTTCAATTATAGAGAGTTGCAACTTTTGGCCATTTATTTTGGTAATTTAACCATTATTATTTATCAATTTAATATTTTGCAAATTTATCCAACACAATCAAAATCCAAAGGCAAGGATTGACCTCTTAGAGCACCAAGAAGAAATGAAACAAGAATCCACTCTGCACAAGGGAGACTAGATCTTAGTTGAAAAAGGTCCCATCAGCAGAAAAACATCCTCCATAAACTTTCCTTTAAATTCTTAACAAATAGGTCGAAGACACTATATCCTCTATTGATTTATACATATTATAAAATTCTTAAGACAATAAGAAGAAATATATGTGTTACATGTATACCTACTAAGATACCATTTTCATGTTAGGAAAACACTTTTATCCTTCACAGTGATATAAGATCTAGAGAAAATCATATTATTTCAGAAATTCTAAAAAGAATAAATCATTGAATGTCAGATCATAGAAAAATCATCCATAATCCTAGACCTACCTCCCAAAGAAGTCATAAATAGAAAATATTAGAGAGTTCCTAAGGGAGAACAAAGCACTACCCAAACCATCTAAAAATCTCATACCAAATAGATGTTGCATAATCACATATCACAAAAAGGTGGGTAACATACTCTAAAGCCTCCATACATATCAGACAAAAAACACAATAGGAATCAACTAGCACCTTACAGATAAAAATATTATCTAATCCTATAAAAAAAATAAGCTTCCAAGAGAAAACAACTATTATAGAGGGTGGCAGCTACCCCATATAAGGGGAAGAGTTGGTTTCAATAGATCTTTTAAGGGGATTCGCCGACTAACTCATTTGCATATCATCCTTAAAAAGACACCATGACCATCTATCATGTATGTGTGTGTGTGTGAGAGAGATAGAGAGAGATAGAGAGAGAGGTGTCTCTGATTAAAAATATCAAGTTAAAAACCATCTCATATCGATAATCAAACATAAGTCTCTTCCACTTTAACTCCCAAGTGAGCAAACTATCAATAGATCAATCCCGCTGATCCGAGATAGTAAAAAGCCTTGGGAATCTAACACATAATGGAATGTCATCAATCTAAGTGTACTTCCAAAAATAGGCAAGGCTCTTGGAAACCACTTTCTTCCTCACAGAATTCATAAATCAATCAGACTGATCAACTAGCTTGGAACTCAATAGGGAGACTCCTTTCCACTAGGAAGAAGCAGAGCAGAGTCCAGAAGTTCTACTCCCCCTAGAAGAGAGCAAGATCTGGCACCGTATCTGGAATGTAGAATATCACACAAGAGACCTGAGGCGCACAGGATAAGCCATCATCTCCACTTAGCCAAAAAGACCAGATTAACCAAACGAAGATCCCTAACCCCAAGGAAATCTTGCTGCTTAAGCTTACACACATCAAACGACTTAACTTAAGCAATCTTCAGGCCATTTTGACCCTTTTATAAAGAACCCTCTTCTAAATCTTAACTATCCTTTTCTACACCTTGACTTGCATCTTAAGAAACGACAAGAAAAAATGGAAATAATATTGAGAGGTGAGTTTAATAACATAGCTCGTCTCATAACTTCACATAACGGTGCTTCCACAAGTTCAACTAACTACAAATCATAAACACTAGAGATTGTCACATAGACACAACACAAGGGTTAACCTCACAAAAAGATTTAGATACTTGAAAAAAAAAGATTCAATTTTGCAGTGAAAAAAAATCTCCAACATATACTAGCATATCCGGTTAATTTTAAAAAAGTAAGATATTTAACACATATATTTATTTGTATATCACTATTTTGATACATTTTGTAGAAGTGTTAAGAGACTGTTGGAAATTCACCTCACACCCTATGAAGAATTCCCTTCAATCTTGATCTCAAGATTGACGAACAAACCCACAATATGATAGTAATGGTAATAACAAGTAATTATCAAGAACAACAAAAGAAAAGAAGAACAAATAAGAAAGAGAAGAATGAGAGAAGAAATATTTGGAGAGAATGTGTTACCCACAACTGTGGGATTTCTTGTTGCTTATAGAACTTTCAATTGCTCAAACTGCAACTGTGAAATCTGTTCTATGTTGTGTTGTGATTGAATACAAAGCAAGGTACCCTATTTATAGTTTAGGTTTACAAAAGGCCAAAACATAAAAGGCCCAAAATATTCAAATCAAATTTAATCATATCAAATCAAATCTGTTTACACTATGAATTATATTTAACACACCACCTAATTCATTGTGTCTAAACTGTCTACATTCATCATGGCTCTTAGTCTTCTGAAGGTTTCGACCTGCACTCCCTTCGTCATGATATCTGCAATTTGATTCTCAGTTTTGCAGTGTTCCAACTTCACAAATTCCTTCTCCCTTAAGAAGCTGTCGATTTTCTTATTCCAGACTCTTGGAGCTTGCTTAAGTCCATACAGGGCTTTATGAAGCCTGTACACCTTTCTTTCTTCGCCTTGTTTCACAAACCCAACTGGTTGTGCAACATAAACTTCTTCGTCTAAGGGGCCATTAAGGAATGCACACTTCACGTCCATCTGACATGTGTGCCAGTTGTTCATATTTGCTAGACCAACAACCAACCTGATTGTTTCAATTCTAGCAACAGGTGCGAATACTTCATCGAAGTCGATTCCTTCCTTCTGAAGAAATCCTTTCGCCACAAGTCTCGCCTTGTGTCGAGTTACTTCTCCTTTAGGATTTACCTTTACCTTGTAACCCACTTCACATCAATTGCCTTCTTGCCTTGCGGTAATTCGACAAGTGACCAGGTATCATTGACTTCGATGGACTCCAACTCTTCAATCATTGCTTTCATCCACTTCGAATCTTTCAATGCCTCAGCTACATTGACTGGTTCGACATTTGCGTAGAAAACATAATGTACCAACTCACCCTCTTCATCGACTACATCATCTGATGTAATTACACATTCTTGCAACCTTGCAGGCATGTGTCTTGTTCGTCGAGGTCGGCTTGAACCTGCTTCATCTGCAACTTGTTCTAGTCGAGCTTCTATTTCGACTTCAGTGGCTGGTTCTTCACAAGAGATTCTCACTGAATCCTTCTTGGCATTCTCAGCCAATCCCATTCTTTAAGCTCATCTATGATCACATCCCTGCTAATCACTACCTGCTTATTCACTGGGTCGAACAACTTGTAACCTCTTGTCGAATGATATCCTATCAAGATCATCTGATTCGACTTATCATCAAGCTTTCTTCTCAACTGATCTGGCACATGTCTATGTGCTATAGATCCAAACACCTTCAAGTGATTGAGACTAGGCTTGACACCAAACCAACATTCTTCTGGTGTGATTCCTTCAAGCTTCTTCGTCGGACATCTGTTCAATATATATGTTGCTGTCGAAACTGCTTCTCCCCATAATTCTTTAGGTAGATGCTTTCCATTCAACATACTTCTCACCATATTCATGATGGTTCTGTTCTTGCGTTCTGCAATCCCATTTTGCTGTGGAGTGTAAGGTGGCACCACCTCATGCACAATACCTTCTTTTACACATAATGTATCGAACTCTTTCGACACATACTCTCCACCACCATCAGTCCTCAGAATTTTCAGCTTTCGGCCACTCTGTCTTTCGACCATGGACTTGAATCTGGAAAATACCTCAATCACATCACTTTTCTTCTTAATGAGGCAAGTCCAAAACTTTCGACTGTAATCATCTATAAACGTGACAAAGTATCTGTTGCCACCAATCGAATCCACCTGGATTGGACCACATACATCAGAGTATATGACTTCAAGTA